CTTTAGGGGGGCGGCGAGGCGGCGTCCTTCGACACGTTTGCCATCGGGCCGCCGCCGCCGCCTCCGCCTCCGGTCGATTGGGAGGATGCGCCGGCGGAGACGGTGAGCGCGGTGGCGCAGCAGGCGGCGCAGGCGGCGGTGGAGAAGGTTGGGGTGCTGTGGAGGTGCCGACGCGCCACTTTTCGCATGGGATGAGTGATGTGGAGATGCCAGCAGTTGGGGACGAGGCTGATAAGTCACGCGTTGCCGTACCCTACCCCTAACTCTAACCTGACCCTACCCCTACCCCTAGCCCTAGCCCTAACCCTAACCCTAACCCTAACCCTAACCCTAACCCTTACCCTAATGTGCTGTGTGGAGGTCGGCGCGCCACTTCTTCCGCATCAGCGAGGAGTCGATGAATGTGCATTGGGAGGACTCGTTCGGCGAGAGAGAGAGAGAGAGAGAGAGAGAGCCGAGATGCAGCCGAGATGCAGCCGAGGTACAGCCGAGATAGAGCCTCTGCTCGAGAGTCGTACAGGCGACATCGCCGACGGCCACCTCAACGCGCCGCCGGGGCTCGCCCTCCTCTTTGCCCTCTTCTTCTTCGGCGTGCTCCCCACCGCTATCTCCCCATATCTCCCCAGATCTCCCCATATCTCCCCATATCTCATCACCGTAGGCGTGCTCCCCACCGCCCTCTTCCTCGTCGCCTGCAAGCGCTGCGACCGTAGAGGCTGAAGACGCACTCGTGTCTCCCAAACAGCGCTCGAGAGGACCGTAGAGGCTGAAGACGCACTCTTGTCTCCCAAACAGCGCTCGAGAGGACCTTAGAGGCTGAAGACGCACTCTTGTCTCCCAAACAGCGCTCGAGAGGACCTTAGAGGCTGAAGACGCACTCTTGTCTCCCAAACAGCGCTCGAGAGGACCGTAGAGGCTGAAGACGCATTCATGTCTCCCAACCAGCGCTCGAGAGGACCGTAGAGGCTGAAGACGCATTCATGTCTCCCAACCAGCGCTCGAGAGGACACGCACTCCGCCGCAGTCAGCCGCAGTCAGCCGTACTCTACTCACGCGGTGCCATGACTACTCTGCAATGCACCCTCTTCCCGCCCCGAGGTTGGCGCATCCAGCACGGTAGGCTCTGCGTCCTTCCCTGCCTCCGCTTCTGCTGGAAGTGCCGGCGCGTGCGCGTCCACGTCGCGCTCAAGGAGGAGACGGGCTCGATGCTGCAGCAGGCCAACGCCGCGCGCAGGCGCAGCGCAAGGAGGAGGAGCAGCAGCAGCAGCAGCAGCTGCTGCTGCAGTAGTAGTAGTAGTAGTAGTAGGTAGTAGTAGCAGGAGGCAACTGAGAAATGCCCAAGATCGCTGACCCGGCTCCTCCTCGCCCCAGCAGCCCGAAGGCCACCGAAACTCCCTCGCGCGCAAGCTGGGCACGAGCACGCAAGGGAGTGGCGCACGCTCGGCCGGGTGCCTCGGACGACCCCGCACACCTTGAGGGCGCGAGATAGCCGGGAGATGCAGCCGAGATGCAGCCGAGATGCAGCCGAGATGCAGCCGAGATGCAGCCGAGATGCAGCCGAGATGCAGCCGAGATGCAGCCGAGATGCAGCCCCGCGATGGCCGCTCGAGTCCTCCTGTTCACAGCGCGAGCTGTGAACGAGGATGGTCTCCCCCCCCGTCTCTGCCCCGGTCCGGCTAACACACAGCTCGCGCTGCGCCCAGGAGGGCTCGAGACGAGGGTGGAGAGGCTCGCTTCGGTCTTGACCGACCTCAAGACGCAGAGCATCGTCTCCTCCTCGCCGGCCGACCACGAGATTGAGCGCGAGATCGAGGCCGAGAAGCTCAAGGCGCGCAAGAAGATTAGCCGCCGCCGCCGCGCCGCGCGCGTCTTACTAGCAGAGATCTAGCCGAGGTCTAGCCGAGATCTAGCCGAGATCTACAGCCGAGACGGAGGGAGCTCAAGGGGCGCGCGAGACCGGCTATACAGCCGAGGTCTAGCCGAGGTAGCGCCGAGGTCGAGCCGAGACGTAGCCGAGACCTAGCCGAGACCTAGCCGAGGTCTGGCCGACACCAGCCGGGATCGAGCCGAGAGGCCGCGAGGAGCTCACAAGGCGCGTGCGAGAGGCGTTGGCGGGCGCTCGTAGTCCGGGCGGCGCGTGGGCGGCGCCTCTTCACGGCTGGCCGGTGTGAACAGGAGCTCAAGGACGAGGCGGAGCGGCTTGGCATCTGCCCTCCAACACCGGCACATCCCCACAACGTACTGCTCCAATGCGACTAATGAGTGATGACTAGGCATCCCCTCCGACCCGGCCAGAGGCACATCCACAACGTACTGCTCCAGTGCGACCAATGAGTGATGACTAGGCATCCCCTCCGACCCGGCCAAAGGCTCCACCACGCCCGCCGGCGGCCACGCCCCTCTTCGCGGGCTCTGAGGGCGGGGGGGGGTCGCCCTGTTCACACGCCGGCGACTGTGAACAGGGTGGACGCGGGCGGAGACGGCGGGCGGCGCCGTCATCTACATCAACGACGAGACGGGCGTGGCGCAGGTGATGAGACACGATTCTCAAGCAGTCTCTTACATCTGGCCCATTGTGATTCAAGCGCCGAGACGCGCAGGTCGGAGGGCGAGGCAGGAGAGGCGGCTCCTTCATAGTTGTATCCACGCATTAATTGACAACGAGAGCGGCGGGGCGCAGGTGGTGCCGCCGGAGGATGACGTCACCTCGAACTCTACAAACAAGACGTCGGAGAAGCCTCTCGGACAATAAAGGTCTGGACAAGTTGGTCGATGCCGGCGAGGGGTGATCGGCGCAGTCGGCAATCGCCTCGTCTCAAAACAACATCGGCAGGTCGAGAACAGCGCTCCGCGCGTCTCTCGTCCCCAAGCGGGGGGGGGGGGGGGGGGCTAGTTCACTCTGACACGCTAGAAGAAATGCTCCCCCCACTCTCTCCGAGGGGATGCCTAGAAGTAAGGTATGTAAAACCTGGTTTGTGGAGCTCCCACACCTTACCTAGAGAGCACGGCATTCGGGGGGCCATTGACTCATGCTTTGGGCCATGATCTCGGTTCCGCCTTTTTTGTACGGCTCTAGTGGAGAGAATTAAGGAATCTTTCTGCTCTGAGGCAGCTGCATCATTCCCCTTTACTTCAATCAGCTTTGTACACTCAAGTGCTATTACTGTCCGTATAGCTGTCTAGACGCTCCGATTTTGCTGTCTGGACGCTGTCTGGACATTGATCATTGTCTGGACGTTGTCTGGACTCCTGCGCGCCTCACACACACAGTCATCACCTCGCGAGCGGCCGACAAAGTGAGCGCACGACCACCTCCCTCTCACTCACGCTCTGACCGATGCTCAGCCCGTTTGTTCTCGCCGAGAGGGCGCTCAGGCAACCATCGCTGGCCTCTCGGCCGGCTCACGGCCGCTCAAAAGGTCGCGGACCCGCCCGTCGCTTGCCGCCCCTCTCCCAGCCGTTGCCGGCGACGGGATCACGAACCTAGGGCTCAGTTCCGTCTTCCTCCCCCTCGCTCCTGTAGGTAGGCCGCCCCGCGCTGGCGGGAAGAGGCGCGCCGAGCCATCGGCGACGTCCTGGCGAGCTCATGTCCCCCCAAAAGGTCGCACCCGCAGGGTTCGTGATTTCACATGGAAACAGCGAATCGATTTCACTTTCACTTTCACTTCACATTTCATGTGATCACGAACCCTGCGCACCCGCCCGTGGCTCCGCCGTCGGCTCCGCCGCGAGCGGCGACGGTGAGGCCGCCGGGGCTCGCCTATACCGGCTAGTGTGGAGCTCTCAGTGTGGCTGCGTGTTGTACTAGTGATGCTGCACTAGGCGGCCCGTTTTTAGCAAAAAGCAGATACCACATCGCGTGTGGTCGTCGAAAAACCGCATGTTCGCCCGTCTGGGACCTCTTCGTACGGCTCCAAAAACCGCTCCTAAGCCGCCGAACGTCTCGAAGTCGAGCAAGCGCAGGTCGCAATTCTTCTCCCGCGCGAACCGGTAGTCGCCCTTCTTGTAGCGGGCCGTCACAGGTGCCCCCGCCTCCACCTCCCCCTCACTCTCCCCCTCCTCCTCTTCCGCCGCCGCCGCCTCCGCCTCTGCATCCTCCGCCTCCCTCCCCCCCTCCCCCCCCCCTCCCGGCCGCGGCCATGCAGCATGCCCTAACACTAAGTCGAGCAGCTCCCGCTCGGTGTTGCCGAAGGCGACAAAAGCCCCCTTCCAGCCGAGCCGATCGCCACCCTTGCACGCAAGCGAGCTCGTCAGTTTCAAGTCGCCAACGAGGCGCACATGCCCTTTGCCGATGTTCGCCGCCGCCACGTCAGGTTGTTTTGGGTTACTGTAACTGAGGTGTGCAGTCGGCTCCATCTCGATGAGCATGCCCCACGCCGAGCGAAGGGTCTTGACGAGTCGTTTGAGCAGGTATTTGTGTCGTGTTGCGTGCTTCGCACGCGGGTTGACCATTGCGGCATCGCCGAGTTCTTCGTGCGGCTTGCCGTTTGGCGCCTTCTTGCCTGACGCCGGGGCTCGAGATGAAGTATTGCGAGCCGCGGGCGTGGAACGCCGCCTTGCGCGCTGCGTCGGACGAGACCTTGGCGCGTCGGCGTGCTTCGGCGCTGGTGGCGGCGGAGCTCCCGTCGCAAAAAAAGAATTCAGGTCTCGGGTTTGACGCATGGGGTCACTCCCGCGAAACTCGGGAACTAGCCGGGGCAGTCGGAGAAGGGGCAACTCCGTGCACTGACGGTCGGCCGTCAGAAAACACGCCTCCGTGGCTCGGGTTACACCAATCCTCGCTACCCAACGCGGCCAAAGGATATCCACCTCGAGAACCTCGAGAGAGAATTCAACGAGCCTCGGCAGAAAAATCTTGACACGCCCTCAGCTCACGTTTGCGGCCGCGGCCGCTGCCCGAGCCGCTGTTGAGCACCATCGCGATGATGTCCGTGCGCGCCTGCTTCGAGAAGCCGTTTCCCTGCCTCCACCGCCGCAAGCCGGGCCTGGCCTACGAGGAGAAGCTGGAGCTGTGGCGCAAGCTCGGCGGCGGCGACCTGGAGCGTGTCCTCGCGAGCGGCGCCGCCGCCCTCCTCGACGCGCAGTGGATCATCCGCCACGCCGAGGCGGGCGGCGTCCTCACCCACCGCCAGGCGCTTCCCAAAGAGGCCTTCCTCTCTTTCGCCGACCTCGTCGAGGCGACCGGCGAGTATGACCTGGCCGTCGCCGCGCTCTCCTACCCGTGGCTGACCAAGGACCACCCCGACCCGCTCGGAGCCAACCTCGCCCGCGTCGCGAGGGCGCTCAAGGCCCTGCTCAGCAGCCATCCCTACGGCATCACGCGGCTCGGCGTCTTTTGGGACTTCGGCTCGCTGCACCAGCACCCCGACCCCGCCAACGGCGTCCTGCGCACCAAGAAGCAGAACGCGCTCTTCAAGCAGGGGCTGGGCTGCCTCGGCACGCTCTACTCCCACCCGCACACGATCGTGCTGCGGCTGACCTCCTTCCCGGACGGCCACAAGGCGGAGGAGCAGGCCGAGGGCACCAACGTGGCAAAGTACTTTGACCGCGGCTGGTGCTTCACGGAGTGCAGCTGGGCGGGCCTGACAAAGGCTGGCGACCTCTCGCTCGACCTCGGCAAGATGCGCGCAGGCGTGGAGTACGACTTCCGCAGCCTCACCGACGACTGCACCCAGGACGGCGGCCGGCGCCCTCCGCTGCTGCCGTCTGCCTTCGCGGCGGAGCTTGAGAAGAAGAGCTTCACCAACGGCAAGGACGACAAGCCGCTGGTGAAGCAGCTGTACGAGGCCGCCTTCGAGGAGCAGTTTGGCAAGGCGACCGAGCTGCACTACTACAACCTCGGCTGGGGCGACGCGGAGGCGGCGCAGCTGGCGGAGGTCCTCGCGAGCGGGGCAGCGCCGCGGCTCGAGATCCTCTATCTCAACGGCAACAAGATTGGCGACGACGGCTGCAAGGCGCTGGCCGCCGCCCTCGGCAAGGAGGGGGCAGCGCCGCGGCTCGAGACGCTCTTTCTCTTCGACAACGAGATTGGCGACGAGGGCTGCAAGGCGCTGGCCGCCGCCCTCAAGGAGGGGGCCGCCCCGAGCTTGAAGGCGCGAGACGCCCCTCCTCGCCACTCGCCCCTCCCCCGCCCAATGCTCATCGCACCTCCCCTCGCGTGCAGACGCTCGAGGTTGACTACCACCAGCCTGAGCTGATGGCCGTGTGCGAGGAGCGCGGCATCTACCTCAGCCGCTGAGCCTCTCCAGCCCCGGCCGGGCGGCAAGGGCGCGGGGCCCGGCGGGACCGCCGTGCGAGCACGGCAGAGAGCAACAGACCCCGCGGCTGCGGAGCACGACGCACAGCGACGGTGCCGGGCGAGATCTTGGTTTTTTTGGGGGGTGGGGGGGGGGATTCTGTCGGCGCACGTGGCTGGGACAGGAGCGCGCCGCGGCGGCGGCAATGGAAATGCGACGGTGGCATACGCGGGGGAACGGGAAGGACCGCGGTGACGGAAATCGGGGGAGGACGCGACCCACCTCGCCACAGACGGTCCCGCGCCTCGCCGCTAAGACGGGGACACGCGCCGCACCGTCCGCTGTGTCCCCGTCTTTGTCCGGAGTGAAAAGTCCAACGCGCTCGTCGGTGGCGGCTTCCTCCAACGTGCGCCGCGCTCGGCGAACCTCGACCGCGCCTTCGGTGGCATGCACTAGGGCATGCAGCTCTTTGCGACAAATGCTGCTCACACACTCTGCACAGTTGGCACAGCCTACTGTGCGGCTTCCACCAGCTGTCACAGCGATGGGCTCGCCCTCACTGGCCCTCAGTCACTTGTGCTGCGGCTTGTGTGAGCGACACTGCTCGGCGACTGCCGGCACACTGTGAGACCATGGGTGTGAGGTAAAACCACGCTACCAGCGCTTGGTCACATCGGCCCCGAGGTCAGATCCTTCTACTCTGTTGATGACAATACTTGTCTACTGGCTGGAGCCGATGGAACAGGAGGGCCTGGCGCACAACCCCGCTGGTCAACTGAGGACCTGTTGCACGCCTACCGTGAACCACCCCCGCACAGCTCAAAAACGCTGTGCGCGGCAGGCGGCTTGAGCGCGCGCCCTAAGGCCTTCATGTCGCACCCGAGCGTCTCAGCGCCATCCCTGGGCCCTGCGGCAGCGGGCCGGAGCGGTTGAAGGCGACTTGACGCGCCGCGCCTCACGCGCTGCGGCCGCGACGCCGCAGTGCCGTAGCGCCGTCGCACGCACTAACTGCCAAACTTTTACGGTACGTTCACCGATCGCAAACGCGTGGTTGGATAGAAGCCCGAGTCCTGACCTGTCGCACACATGTCGCCGCTCCGGGCTCTCAGTCTCCTCGCCGTCTACCTCCCAACGGCCCTCGCCGAGTGCAAGACGTACTGCCCCTACCGGACCCATCCGATGGAGGAGAAGTGCGGGTGGGCCGGGTGCGACACCTGTGTGCCCTGCCTGCCGTGCATGCCGCACTGCCCAGTCGCGACCCAGCCCTGGGAGGAGAAGTGCGACTGGGCAGGGTGCGGAGGCTGCACGGAGTGCTCGGTTTCGCCTCCTTCCCCGCCCGCACAGTGCAAGACGTACTGCGCCTACCGGACGCAGCCGATGGAGGAGAAGTGCGAGTGGTCGGGCTGCAACGGCTGCGGCGAGTGCACAAACGTCAGAGCAGTACGCGGTGTCTTTGATGCGTTTGCCGGCGGTGCGCCTTCACTCGCTCCCAGCCTAGCACCGACCCCACACGTAGTCACGTTTGCGTGCCGGGCGCTGCTGGCGGTCTAGTCGCACATTGAGGACGGGCTGACGTGCCGTCGCCGCCACACTGACGTGCCGTCGCCACACTGAGCCTGCCCGCCACACTGAGCCGTCGCCGCCGCACCGAGCTGTCGCCGCCGCCCGCAGGGGATATCACCCCGCCATGCCCACCGGTCTTTCATTTTTCTCTGCAAATTCTTGCCGGTGGCAAAACACGCCTTCGCGCTGTCCTTGCATGCCCGTGCCCGTGGCGCGCGCGAAAGCGCCGCGCGGCGTCACCTCGCGGTCGAGCCGCCCGCCATCGCCGCCACCTCCTTCCCAAACTGCCGCAGCTTGGCCAGCGGCACGTCCCCGCGGCGCGCGTCCCAGCGGACGAGCGCTTGCAGGCAGCCGCGGAAGGAGATTGGCTTGCGCACGATCGGGGTCGACTGGCCGGGGTGGTGGCTCGCGCTCGCGTAGTACTCCTGCCCCGTCGTCCGCGAGCGGTGCCTAGAAGAGTGTTCCTAGACGGTTCCTAGACGGTTCCTAGTACTCCTGCCCCGTCGTCCGCGAGCGGCAGCGGTGCCGGTCCCAGCCGGGCCCCGGCGGCTGCGTCGACGGCACGGCGTGGCCGGGGAAGAGCAGCGCGCCGCAGAACGGCCACCGCGTCCCGCGCACGCCCGACGAGGCGCGCGCCTCGGCCTCGTCGAGCGCGCGCGGCAGCTCGGAGAGGCGGTACGCCTGCTCAATTAGCAATGAAGAGATCAGCAACTAATTAATAATCAAGAGGCGGTACTCCTGCTCGGAGAGGCGGCACGCCTGCTTGAGCCGGATGGGCATGTTCTGCTTCACCGCCGCGTCGGTGGCCTCGTCGACCCACCCGCCGCCCCCGCCGCCGCCCACTGACTGGCGGAGCACGTCCTGGTCGCGGTCGAGCGCCTCGACGAGCAAGCCGAGCCTGCGGCGCCTCTCGGAGTACGGCAACCTGCGCACGTCGTCACCGGCGATGACGGCGGCGTCGAACACGTGGAGCGCGTCGCGCAGCGAGCCGTCCACCTGCTCCGTCACCTTCTCGGCGACGATCAGAGTCGCGCGCGGAAGCCGCACGCCTGGTACACCACCACCCACGGGACTGAGCCCACACTGGATTCGGTACTCTGGAGGTGTGGTACTAGGCGCGGCAGCCGCATGCCCGCGACGCAATCCCACGTGCCGCGCGAGCCCCACACAAAGGCGGCCCCGCGCGACTGCGCCACGTCGGCGCCGAAGACGAGGCATGGCGCGCAGTCCGAGGCGGAGGGCATCACGACCCAGTCCGCGACGGTGCGGAACATCGACTTTGGGTCGCTCGGTAGCCGCAGCAGCGCGCCGCTCGCCTCCGCCGGCCGCAGGACGCGCGGCAGCTGCTCGCCGCGCTCGAGGGGGGCGTATGCCTCGTCGGGGTGGGAGCAGCGCGGCGGCGGCGGCGGCGCGTCGGGAAGCCTGCACGCGGGGCGGAGAGGCACTGGTCGAGATATGGGGAGAGACGGGGAGAGACGGGGAGAGACGGGGAGAGACGGGGAGAGATGGGGAGAGATGGGGAGAGATGAGGCAGCCTCCAGGCGGAGAGGCACTGGTCGCGCGTCGCGGACTGGTCGCACGAGCGCGACCCTTTCTCGCGCATGTACGCGACGAGCCGGCGGAGCGCGCGCCTAGGGTGAGGGTGAGGGTGAGGGTGAGGGTGGGGGCGAGGGCGAGGGCGAGGAAGAGGGCGAGGGTCAGGGTGAGGGCGAGGGTGAGGGTGAGGGTGAGGGTGAGGGTGAGGGTGAGGGTGAGGGTGAGGGTGAGGGTGAGGGTGAGGGTGAGGGTGAGGGTCAGGGTGAGGGTGAGGGTGAGGGTGAGGGTGAGGGTCAGGGTGAGGGTCAGGGTGAGGGTCAGGGTGAGGGTCACATATTTTTGACGTGTGTGTAGTCTATACAGTCTGTACACCGGCGCCAGTGCCGTCAGTGCCCACGCGAGAAGCGCTACTGCCTGTTTGTTTGCGCCTTGTCCAGACTGGCTGGGCGCGGGTGGTTCACGGTTGGCGTGCAACAGGTCTAAGGGTCCTTCCCCTTTAAGCATTTAGGCGACTGATACACCGTCGCAGCGCTACCCGCTAGCTCGTTGCTGGAGCGAGATTGTCACCATCGTTGTGATATGTTCCATGCACTGCTTTCTTCAGAGCCCGCCCTCCACCCACCGGAAGGCCTGAGCCTCGGAGGCCAGCAGCGGCTGCACCGTCC